TCTAAGGTGCACCCCGCGATCTGCCCTATATTGCATGTAGCTGTTAAAACAGCGGATCAACAGCTTCAGGCATAACTGTGTGTGTAGTGGTTAAAACTTGGACTCACCATTACTTCCCATAACACTGCTTCTTGTGTTTGTCAGTGTTTGAACAGTTGCGATTAAACTGTGTACTGCTCTCTAGTGGTCTAATGTTTGTATTACACACAGAGTGACTTCACAGTAGGGTTTCTCATGCTGTGTGTGGTGTTTTTCGGTCCCAACTCCATCCACCGAGGAAGATCATGTAATAAGGTTAAAAGCTGAAGAGCTGTCAGACTTCTGTTTGGACTTTTCATCCATCAATGTAAGTGTACATCAAAACAAAGACATTATAATTCATTGGTACTTTTCATATTTTAATTTGTCATTTTAACCACATAAAACACTTAAGCAGACACACATTAGAGGATAAAACTGATTAAAATAAAGTGAGGAACATCTTCCTGCATAGTGTTACAGTCATTTAAAGAGCGGCTGATCTAAAATAAAATGCTTAACTGTCATGTTTTTGGTTGTTTTGTGTAGTTCTATTCAGCTGAGAAGGTGCAGTAGATTCCCCAGTGATCACTAGAGTAGCGGCCACAGTCCAGCTTCTCCAGCCCCACCAAGGCCATGTGATCAGGGGCCAGACGTGGGATTCCACGTCTGATGGCCGGGCGGAAGTAGATTCTATCAAAGCGGCAGCGAGCGACAAAGGGAAAAGTTTTGTTGTTGTTGGCAGAGGTGTCCCACGTGTAGCGGCAGTGCTCCTGTTTGCCCAGTCGCTCCCACACATCACAGACAGTTGCAGGCAGGCCCACCTTGGTCACCTGAGACGGGTCCAGAGAAAAGAATTACTGTGATTACTTGTTATAAGTTTACTGGCTGTATCTGAGTGGAAGGAGCAGCGTCTGACCTCCGCATCCCTCAGGTTTGTGTCTCCCCCAAACACAACGGTGACATCATCAGGTGCATGTTTAAACCTCCACTTCACCACATGCAGCTGATTCAGATGCTCTGCAGTATTTTCCTTACAGCTCTCAAAGTGGGATGTCATCAGGCACAGCTTCTGACCGTTGACGATCACCTGAGCTTTGGAAACGAAAATGTTCCTGAGCATCACTTATGGAGATGAAAAAAATATCAGAGATGATTTTGCACACACCTGAGCGACCAGCAGGTTCCTCCTCATCTTAGTGGTGGGATAAGCTACCATCTCGCTCTCCACAAGTTTGACTCGTGACTTTTTCAGCAACATCCCTGTGAAGCAACCGTTCCGACCACCTGATCAACACAAAAGGAAGAGAAAGATGGAGACTTTTAAGCTTTGGTTCCCCTTCAAATCAAATCTTTAGTCAATGATTTGTTTATTCTTTGAGTATTAGTTCCTAGCTCTTCTTCCATGTTTCTAGTTCTGTTCCCTGGTTGATCTTATCTGTGTCTCAGTGTTTGTGTTACTTCCTGGATTTTTTGTCTTGTGTGTGTTGTTCAGTCTGTCTCGTTAGTCAGATTTTGTTCACCCTTGTTCCCTGGTGTGTCCTATCTCCTTGATTACCTCATGTGCACTTAAGCCCTTAGAGTTTGTTCAAGTTTTACTCTGCCTTATCTTTTGTAAAGGTTGCCTTTTGCCAGCTAATAAAGCTCTGCTTTGAGTTTAGTTTGTCTGGCAAGTCCTTAATTTGGGTGCACGAACCGTTTGCCACACAGCTGTCCCACAACAGTAATAAGCATGTAGTCTCAGTACAAAGTTTTATAGTCAGGTTTTATAAAAACAGTGAAGGAAGAACACAGATGTTACTAATATTGACTAAAGTCCTTAACAGCTCTCTTCATGTGTTACATGAAGTCAAAGCAAAGCAGCTCAGCTGCATTCAGCCATTAATCACCATTTGATCATTCATACCTGTGCCTTTCCTACCTGTATCTATCTGACATACTGTACCTTCAATCATCAGGTAGTTGACGAGCTGTTCCTTCAAGAACTGGACATAAGGGGGAACGAGCTCCTGCAGGAACACCACATCAGGGTTGTGTCTGTATTTACAGAGATTTACTTTAATAATATTAAATGTCACATATGTGCAGCTTTTAGGAAAATGTTGCCTTTTCTCCAAACAATGCCTAAAAGTGTGAAAAGTGTAACAGGTACTTACAAGTTTAAATATTTAACCAGGCCTCTGGAACGCTCTGGACGTTTTTCCAAATCAAACCCGTCCACATTCCAGGTGATCAGGGACAGTTTAAAATCCTCTTCTTCTGAGGGTTTCTGTGTAGCAGCAGGACTGGCAGCAGGACTTCCATCTGGACTGTCTACAGCCAAATCCATCCTGGAAGTTTTTCACAGAGTCAGTCAGCTAAAATACAAAAAGTCATATGTAAACTTAACCATACATAGAAGAGCTGACAGCAGACTCAGTCATCTGGAGTAGTATCATCACCACTGTGTGTTTTAGAGTCGCTCTCCATGTCTGCTTCAACAAGTTAGTTCTCTCTCTGAAATAAAGGTGACAGGAAGATTATGCACTGTTTAAGTCATAAAACACACACACACACACACACACACACACACACACACACACACACACAGGTTTGGTTTCCAATATACCCAGGCAGTTTCCCAGTATGTGTATATAACTTTTTTCGTGTCCTTGGTAAAGTATGTTTACATGTTCTAGCTCCACCCATTCTATCAAGGTTTAATATTTTTTATACCAACCTTAAATAAACATACGTACAGAGAAAGGCCAGTGAGCAGACAAAGCAATGAAAGCAACAACAGAGGTTCAGAAAGTATCACGATATGTAAATGTAAGTGTAACCCGTTCATGCGTTACGCCTGTTGTTCTGCGTTGTGTTCTGCAACACAGAAATTTGTGTTCGATCTGTGTGTGTCATGCGACTGCCAGTACACCTCTCCTCCGGCCATGCTGAAAGGAGCTGTGCCTGCAGCTTCATTAATACTACATTAATATAACGAATCAAATACAACAAATTGTTTTAAAACATTAACTTAAGCTCTCAAAAACAAAAAGCACAAAATAAATAATATGTCACTGAAAAAACATCAAAACAACTTATAAGAACAATAAATGAAAGACTGCATCTCCAAAACATAAGAACATCTCCATACCTGCAACACAGAAATATGTGTTCGATCTGTGTGTGTCACGCGACTGCCAGTACACCTCGCTTGACGAGCAGAGTGAAGCTGACCCCCCACCCACTTGAAACGTAAAGGCAAATAGGCGGAGCGGTTAGTGCTACGTTTGTGCAGATTTGTGCAGGTAAAATTAGCGTTTGTGCTGCTTCTGTTTTAAAGATATTAATGAAAATGTAAAGGTCAACCAGCCCCCCCACATTACCCAAATCCAACAAAAGTGGTATCAAACGTTTGTGCTACGTTTGTGCTGGTTTGTGCTGCAGAAATTTTTGTTTGTGCCGTTATTATTTTAAAGATATTAACAAAAATTTCTAGAGGTCAACCAGCCCCCCCATATTAATGGAATCAAACAAAATGGATGTCAAACGTTTGTGCTGGTTTGTGCTGCAAAAATGTTTGTTTGTGCTGCTAACATTTTAAAATGTTTAATAAAATAACGTCTTGATGCGTGCTTAATCATCCAGGTAAGTAAATCCCAAAAGGTTGATTCTGTTCATCTGGACATTTTCAGTTGGAGAAACGTTTCGTCACTCATCCAAGTGACTTCTTCAGTCTCAGCTGACTGTAGGTTTCCCCAACCATATAAACAGTACATTTGCATAGTGAAGGAAACTAGCGCCACTGAATGAACAATGTGCCGGGGGGTTAATTCCATGATTGTTAGTATGCAAATTCTTATGACCATTGATCAATGACAACTAATCAAAGCCTATTGATCAATGGCCATGAGTACCATTCACAGAAAGTGGGGAATGGCTACAATCACAGCATTGTAGGATGGCGAAAGATGTACCCTTGGGCCCCCCTTCTCGATCCAGAGATGGTCAGCATCCTGACAGCCCGATGGACGAAGCTGTCTCTCAGTCTGCTGGTTCTGGCCCGGAGGCTCTTCAGTATCCTTCCTGATGGCAGCAAACTGAAGACGCTGTTGAAGGGATGAGTGGAGTCACCTGTAATGGAGACGACCTTCCAGATGAGGCAGGTGCAGTAGATCTCCTGGGGAGGGAGGCAAGAGAGGTCCCCACAATGCTCTCGGCTGCTCTCACTACCCGTTGTCATTTTTTCCTGCAGAACCCAATGCAGGAGTCATACCACACAGTGATGCAGCTGGTGACGATACTCTCAACTGTGCCTCTGTAAAAGGTGCTCATAATGGGGGTTGAATCTCTTGTGCTTCTCAGTTTGCAGAGGAAGTAGAGTCACTGTTGGTCTTCTCCACATTCAGGGACAGGTTGTTGTTGCTGTACCACTCTGGCAGATGGTTAACTTCACCCCTGTAGTAGATCTCGTCGTGGGTCAGCAGAGTGAAGAGAAGGGAGCTCAACACACATCCTTGGGGAGCCCCCGTATTCCGTGTTCTTGGGCTGGAGGTAAGTAAGTAAAGACTTACATAATAAACACAAAATCACTGCCCTAGAACAGCTGGAACAGGCTCCAGCCCCTGAATTGGATACACAGAAGAGAGTGGATGGATAGTACTGCATCTAGCTGTTGAAACAGTGGCTCAACAGCTTCAGTCATATGCATGTAGTGCTTAAAAGTTAGGACTTCCCATAACACTACTCTCAGTCCTGTAAGTCAGTGTTTGAACAGTTGCTACTCAACTGTGTACTGCCCTCTAGTGGCCTGATGTGTGTATTACATACAGAGTGACATCACAGTAGGGTTTCTCATGCTGTGTGTGGTGTTTTTCAGTCCCAACTCCATCCACTGAGGAAGATCATGTAACAAGGTTAAAAGCTGAAGAGCTGTCAGACTTCTGTTAATGGACTCTCCCCCCCAATCAGTGCAAGTGTATAATAAAACAAAGACATTGTAATTTATTGGTACTTTTCATTTTTTAATTTGTCATTTTAACCCCATAAAACACTTAAGCAGACACACATTAGAGTATAAAACTGATTAAATTAAGGTGAATCGTTTACCGGCAATAAGAACATCTTCCTGCATAGCATTACTGTCATTTAAAGAGCGGCTGATCTAAAATAAAATGCTTAACTGTCATGTTTTTGGTTGTTTTGTGTAGTTCTATTCAGCTGTGAAGGTGGAGTAGATTCCCCAGTGATCACTAGTGTAGCGGCCACAGTCCAGCTTCTCCAGCCCCACCAAGGCCATGTGATCAGGGGCCAGACGAGGGACTCCATCCTTGGTAGCCGAGCGGAAGTAGATTCTGTCAAAGCGGCAGCGACTGACATACGGAACAGTTTTGTTGTTGTTGGCTTTAGTATCCCATGTGTAGCGGCAGTGCTCCTGTTTGCCCAGTCGCTCCCACACATCACAGACAGTTGCAGGCAGGCCCACCTTGGTCACCTGAGACGGGTCCAGAGAAAAGAATTACTGTGATTACTTGTTACAAGTTTACTGGCTGTATGTGAGTGGAAGGAGCAGCGTCTGACCTCCGCATCCCTCAGGTTTGTGTCTCCCCCAAACACAACGGTGACATCATCAGGTGCCTCTGACATCCTCTGCATCACCACATGCAGCTGTTTCATCCGCTCTGCAGCATATCCCTTACAGCTCTCAAAGTGGGATGTCATCAGGCACAGCTTCTGGCTGTTGACGATCACCTGATTTTTGGAAAGGAAAATGGTCCTAAGTATCCCGTTCCGCAGAACTTATGCACATGAAGAAAATATCAGAGATGATTTTGCACACACCTGAGCAACAAGCAGGTTCCTCATCATCTGAGTGGTGGGATAAGCTACTATCTCACGCTCCACAAATTTGACTCGTGACTTTTTCAGCAACATCCCTGTGAAGTAACCTTCCTCACCACCTGGTCAACACAAGTCAAGAGGAAGATGGAGACTTTTAAGCTTTGGTTCCCCTTCACATCAAATCTTTAGTCAAGGTATGCTGATACACATAAGTATCAATATCATGTGCAAACTGTATGTGTACAGAGATACTTAACGGTTGTGGTCAGTTTACATTTAGTCATTGTATGTATCAATGTCGTGGTAATATGGGCGCTTTTAATGACTACTTTGAACTGTCCTATTTCCAGTGTGCAATGATTGTAAAGCTTACATCTTCAATGAGTGAAAAAAAATTGAAAGTCTGAATTCATTTGAGATTTTCTCTAATCCACACAGAGTCAAAAGTATGCTTACAGACTCAAATAAACATATACACTCTGACTTGAATGTTTTAATAAGTGGTGCTGAAGACTAAAATGTCTTAACTGTACAAGTCAATAAAAGCCCTAAAATTACCATGAGACACCCCTTTTACTCCTACTCTGCAACCTTCCATGCCAATCAAGTCAGTGTTGACCCGATGTGCAGTTACATTTCTCTGGAGGTCCACGTTAGGTTATGCAGACGGTTACCTCGTGGGCTTAAAATGAGCTTCCTGTCACAGTTCCCGCAGAAGTATAATCCCCATATTAGTACAACAGTCAGAATTTATAAACGCAGTGAAAGAAGAACACAGATGTCACTAATATCTACAAATGTCTCTAATGGCTCTGCTAATGCGACACTGAGGGAAACCAAAGCAGTTCAACTGCATTCAGCCATTAATGACCATTTTATCGTTCACATGAGTGCTTTGCCTAACTGTATCTAACATACTGTACCTTCAATCATCAGGTAGCTGACAGCCCGTTTCTTCAAGTACTGGACATACGGGGGAATGAGCTCCTGCAGGAACACCACGTCAGGAGTGTATCTATGAAACAAAAAAAATAAAACAATTAAAGTAAAAACAATTACTTTACTTACATTAACTATCAAATATATAGAACTTTGAGCAAAATGTAAAATTTCCTCCAAATGATGCCTAAAACTGTGCAACAACTGTAGCACATGCTTACAAGACTAAATATGAACACAGGCCTCTGGCACGCTCTGCAATGTTGTCCGTATCAAGTCCGTCCACGTTCCAGGTGATCATGGACAGTTTACCATCATCTTCTTCTGAAGGTTTCCGTGTGGTAGCAGGACTGTCTGCAGTCAAATCTATGCTGCAAATGTTTCCACAGACAGTTTGGCTAAAATGAACAGAGTCATAAGTAAACGTCACCATACACAGAAAAGACAGCAGACTCACCAGTTTGCAGCAGGGGCATCTTCAACCTTCTGCCTCTTAGCTTTGGGGGTGGTGTCTTTCTCTGGAAGCTCCTCAACATCAAACACTCTCTCCATGTCTGCCTCAAAGAATGAGTTCAAGGCTCTCTGAAGGAAAAGAGACAGGAATGTGCTGCTTATCACAGGACTAAAAAATAAAATAAATATCAGGACTTGGCTGTATATACATCCGTATTCCAGCATCAGCATCAATGTAATGTTTTTAGCTACAGGCTCTCATTTAATCAGTAAAATAACCCGCAGCTGTGCTGAGTGCAATTAAAAGTGCCCATTTGGACTCCGGCTACAACACCAGAGTTACACTCAGCTGGTGTATGTACCTCCATCTCCCAGTCATTCTCAGCCAGGTAGCACTGAGCCACGGCGCTTTCAGTTCCCGCTATGGCTGCAAACTCGTCACAGAGGCGGCTTCTTTTTTCCTCCAAGTTAGAAACTGACGGTGTGTCCGACTCCGAGGTAGAAGCCATCTTTATTAGACACCAGTTTTGCACAAGTACATCTGAAATAAAGAATTAAAACCAAACATTAGCCCATCTTTGCTCTCTGCAAGTTCTCTAAGGTGTACCCATGAAATACGTCCGGGTGAACTTGCTAAACAGTTTCTAATTCGGATAAATTGAAGCTTTAAATAAGACTTTTTAGGGTTGATATACCATTTCATAAGACTCCATACCATTAAAATATACTTTTTATTATAAAAAATATTTAACTAAAAGAAGGCTTGGAAAAAAACTATTAGCATTAAAATTTTATACGCACGCGGCGCTGTTTACCTTCTTTACTGTGGCTGGCCAGTTAAAGTTTCACCCGGACCGTTTTGCGGCACGCCAGTTTCCGGCGGTGTAAGATAAACAGAAGTTTGACATTGGCTGCATGAAAAGGTGTTAAATACACACACCTTGTCGTTAACAATGGCTTCGCTTACTTTAAATTCCTTAAAACATGTAATGAGAGCTATGGTGGATAGCCCAGGCTTCGACAGGGTACTTAGCAAGGTAAATATGGACAGTTTGTGCAAATTAGTTTTTTGGTTTAAGCGCAGAAAAAAGCCGGATCGTGTCTGTATTGTTGCGCTGACATAAAAACAACTCTGTGTTTTCTTCAGGTGGACATTTTGTCTGCCAGCCCCGGTAAAGTGGTGTGTGAGATGCGGGTAGAAGAAGAGCACACAAACCGGGGAGGGACGCTGCACGGTGGGCTAACAGCCACACTGGTTGATATCGTCTCCACCATAGCTATCATGCACAGTGAGAGGGGGGCACCGGGGGTCAGCGTGGATATGAATATAACGTGAGTCCATAACTATTGTAAGCCTTTCTGGGAACAGGTTCTACCCCTCAAAACTCTGGCATAAGGCAGATCTGCCTGTAAAAAGTAGCAAGCAGGGTTCAAGGTTCAATTGAAATATGTAAAATGAACCTTCACAGGGTCCTACAACACGGACCCAGCCACCAACCAGACTTGTGCTCGTGTAGGGTTATTTTCATGCAAAAACTAAATATTTTTACTTTTATCTGTCACCTTTTGTACATTATACTATTTTTGTTTTCCTCATAAATGGGTAAATGTGAACACTTAGTCCAAAATTACTTTACTATCTTTATTCTATTTATCTGTGCTCAGGATAGACACCAGTTTGTGGAGTGACCAGGGCTAGGGACAGGTCAGGTTGAGTGGTTTGGAGAGGCTGAGATGGTTTTAGCATTTTCACACAAATATAACAGGCTTGTTCCTTTATGTTTAACACATTAAGTTTTTATTTCTCATCGCTGTGCACCTTCAAACAGCAAACCAATTTGAACCTAAATTAAAGGAATAGTAACACATACAAGACAGTCCTACTGGTGTATCCATCAGCTGGGCTTATCGCACACAAGATGAAAAAGGAAAAAAAAAATTACCTGCGTATCATTTATAGCACTATACTCAGGGGGTTAAGGTGACATTCAGAACTGTGTTTTTTCTTAATAAGCTGTGGTCACTGTATTTCAGCATCTAGCTTAGAACTGCAGAAGAGGAACAAGCATAAAGGGGATGATGCAGAGGGTTGGTGTGATGCTAGGGATAGGATGACATGGAGAAAGATGGCAACTCCTGAAGGGAGCAGCCAGAATAGGAAGAGCTTTGCACTCAGAAATGAGGATATTTAATACCACTTAAACTGTAGTGTTCGGCCTCTCTGTGAGGTCAAAGTCATGAAGAGTGATGAGTCATGACCCCACATTTGAGAGAAAAGTACTTTAAAATATATATACACCGGTAGTTTTTTTCCCCCTTGTTGATTAGAATTTTTATTTGCTTTGGTTTACAGAATTGCCCAGTAAGAAAATGGTCCCTGGCTTGATCCCAGGAGACAAATCCCTTTGGGGTTTCATCCGATGTGTTAATGCAGGGCAGGGAGCAGCCGAAAGTAGCTTTATTCACTTATTGCCAAGACTAAAGGATAAATGTTGAAAGTCAGAAATAACATACTCAGCTTAGCGCACTGAGGGTTAAGTTACACCTCACAGGATTAAACTTAACCTCCTGCAGGCTTTCCTAATCTGGCTGATAATTTCCCCGATAAACTACAAAAGCTGTCACTGTGTCATAGGTACATGAACGCTGCCAAGATGGGAGAAGATGTTCTCATCACCGCTCAGGTTCTGAAACAGGGACGGAGTCTGGCGTTTGCCACAGTGGACCTCACCAACAAGGTTACAGGGAAGATCATCGCACAAGGAAGACACACCAAACATCTTGGCAGCAGCTGAAGCTTCTCCACTCTGTATCTGTCTGTAGTGTCAAAGCAAGAGTGACGATGTAAACAGCTTCTCTCTGTCTGTAAATAAGTTTGTAATCAGTACTTCAGTGGTGGGTGTCACAACGCTTGGGCTACGAGCTGGTGGTTACTTGATGCTTATTTCCTGCTGTTAAATATTTGCCAATAACTTAAATTGACACCAGTGGTTATTGTATGATCAGAGCCCCTTGTCATTGAAAGACTGTATCAATGATTTGTGCGCATGCAATAAAAGAAAATGGACAAAGAGTGATGCTTTCAGAATTTGCACTGTATTGGGATATGCTCAGCAGTATTGATTTGAGAACCAACAGAGAAAAAAAAACTCCAGAAGTTACACGCCTTACATCCTTTTAAAGTGAACACACTGAATCAACAAGGAGCAAAATTATATGTGCGTAATATTCTTTGACAAGCAAGCCTGCAAAACCCAATTTAATTTGATGAGCATGGTGGCAAATCATCTAACTTTTAGTAGGTCAAATAAAAATAAGAGAATTAGCTTTCAGCAACTTTTGTTAGGTATGTTAAACAATAAATGTCGCCATTTCAGTTACTCACCAACCCACATCCCCAATAAAACAAACATAAAAACATCATTTCAGTAGCTCAATGGAATAGTGCTTGAACAGTGAACATGACCCTCAACGTCTAACCAACTTTGTGTGTATAACACCTTTCAAGTCACTCAAGGTTTTAGCGAAGGCTTGCCTAGCATGTTTCAGAGGAAAGCAAATGACACCAAACCATCTTTGAAAGTCCAGCAAAATAACTAAGGCTGTTTAAAAGAAGCGATACCTACACCATATGATTTGACAGATACTGTTCATCTCATTATCTCTTTGCTTACACGGGTGTTTAAACACCTCTCCACACCTGTCCTCGGTCACAAGACTGCGTAAAGTTGTTCTAGACACCTGCGTGACATTACAAACTTTAACAATCATTTCTTATGACAACAAGGATATAAAACGCGTCCATGTGAGAACCACCATGATGACCTGTGTATTGTTTGTTCCTGTTCTGATGCAACATAAAGAGTTCCTTCAATGACCGGTGCTGTTGACAGTGCAGCTCCAAGAGAACAACCAACCACTCAAAATCAATGTTCGTGCAGGTTCAAATGAACAAAAATAGGTGAGTGAGAAGCAGGGAATGAGGAGGAAGTGGAAAAAAAGGTGAGGGATAAATCCAAAAATGGTAGGGAGAAGAGGGGTGGGGGCACACTGGGAGCATGAGGCAGAAAAAAAATGAAGGATGGGAACTCAATCAGATTCAGGTCAGGGAAGGTAGAACGAGTAGAAACAAAAAAGGAGATCCAAGCATAAGTTCACATCTTAAAGGGAAAAAAGGATGGAGATGAGTACATCAATTTGCTTCTGAAGGCTTAGGCAAGAGGAAGGGAAAAAGGCTTTTTTTTTTTCTTTTTCATTCCCCCTCCGTGTGGCTGGGTGGAGCAAGAAGCCTTAATCAGGCATATAAGGGCGGAGGTGATCCTCGATGTCTCCCACACCCCAGCAGGTCAGCTGGTCCTGGGGCAAGTACAGGCAGAGGCTGCACAACTTGAAAACTGTGGCCTTGGTTTTAGGAGTCTGAAAGAATGTGGACAACATTTGTGATAAAGTGTGTTAACAAGACCATTTCAGGGTTTTTTCCTCCTCTTTTTAGGAGAATTACATTTTATTTTCAGCGATGCGACATACCTGTAAGTGCTGTCTATCCATAAAGAGAAATACAGACTGAGTTGGGTTGTTCATGACCATTCCAGCCTTGTCTTTACGACCCAAAGCATGCATGCACTGCTTCTCGTAGTCTCCATGATGAAATTCAAACTTGGCCTGTAAATAAGACAGACTTAAGAACTAAGGACAAAGTTTTGTTATGTAAAGTCTCAGTTTCCCAGACACAGATTAAGCCTAGTCTCAGGCTACAAACTCGCAGTGTTTCGTGTTAGTTGAGGACTGAACTTCATACATATCTGGGAAACTGGCTGCAAAATTGAATTTGCTGATAAGATGCTTTTTTTTTTACTATTTAAAATTGCTACACTGTGAAGATGATTTAAAAAAATAGAGTGTACACAAAGATGATATTTTTAACTTTCTATAGTTCTGACCAAACCTAAGGTGATAAGGACTGACCTGAACAGGCCTAAAGGGTTCATCATCGGCCCCCTTCCATCTGGAGAACAGCAGACAGACGATCTTCTCAATATCGTTGCGTGGCCATAGGATAAAATCCATTTCCTGAGTGCAGCCTATCACATCCTGTAAAAACACAGACAGCTAACATGACACAAAATGTTTACTTTTCCATACACTCCCCCTTTCAAATGGTATTGCGTCTCACCCTTCGCATTGACTGGTATCGGGGCGCGTGTAGTTGCACAACGTCTTTTTGCAGGAGCTCTATTGAACTCTCGAGAGAGTAGCTGGAATCGCGCACACCTCGTAGGATATTTTCTTCATAGTTGTTGGTCATCACTGGCACAACTTCGGCTACCTCAAAAAGTGCTGACTTCTTCTTCTGTAATGAAAAAAAATTGGAGGGGGGATATTTTAAGGCATTGCTTTGGTTGTACAATGAGGAACAAACATGAGTGGATCTGTAGTGCTGGCAAACCTTTTCTTTGAAAACGAAGGCTATATAAATCTTGAAGTCAAACTGATCAGCCAAAGATTCCCTTTTCTTCCGAAGTTGAGCTCGAAGTCGATTTCGTGTTTGATTTCTGCGTGAAGTTGGGTCCCCCATGGTTGGAATTCGATGGTAGTGTCTTCTCCTCTTCTGCAGTATATTTTGGCTAAACTCTCTACTTTCTGTTTGATAAAGGATGGAGCTGGCTACCCTTTGCAGAAACAACGCATCAAAACTCTAGGCTAAATCCTCAGTATACCAACTACGAACTTAAAAGGTCATAAAAATCTTAAACAAAACTAAGTCATTTCGATTGTTTTGTTAAAAAAAGGGCAGTGTTGAGGAGGGGGGGAATGGTCGACAAGCTAAGACTACATCTCCTTTATGCTTGATCAGAAATCCATGTTTTAAGACATGACTTTCAAGGACCGTGAGCTTCGTTTTTCAACCTGCCATGGAGGGATTACAACAAAGATTTAAATTAAAACAGCAACTCAAATGACTCAACTTTTCCCTCCTATAGATGGTACTGAAATCAGCAGAAAGCGCTGCTGCAAAAACCCATATCGCTAGTTTTCTGCAATTGAGATTGTGGACTACAGCAAGCAGACAAATATTCTATCGTTTGGGTCATTTCAAAGTCCCTCATCCATGGCTGTCTTTTTGCTTCCGTGCAGACACTGTTATGTGCGTGTTATAGACGGACTGGGGATACAGACGAAGATGGCAGGTAAACACAGATGCCAGGAGATATTGGCACCGGGTAACATCGAAGACTACTGCGAAAGTAACTTGACATTTCCGTGACTTTTACTGCCACTCATTTGGCCCAGAGCCTGTGTCGTTGCTGCCACTGCCGATAGTCATGATGTGGGCGTATTTTTAGCACACTAGCTAAGGTGAGCTAGCAGGCTAATCTAGGCATTCACTTCCGACACTAACTAGTAGTGAGCCAGCGATATAGCTACATCTTATCATCTGACTGATTGGCTTAATTGAGGCCTATGTGTGATCACCTAGCTTAGCGTACAGTCATCTTTAAACGCGTTTACATTTCCCCCACCTCCTCGGCTCAATGTGACTGCCAGTGCTGTTTGAGGCTAAGAAACCAGCGGGCTTCACTCACTAACCGTTTACACCATTTTCGCTAAATGTAATGCGCTTCAGTCGTGCCTTGTTAACTACTTCATCGACAAAAAAACAGAATCAGCCCAGGGGAATCAATTATAGCCAATCAACGACAGCAGTTGAATGGCGAAATAATTGTTAGCTAAACAAAAAAAATCAACCCCCCGCTTTCCACGTCTGAAGTTTCGAGGTGTTTGCTGCGCTTGTTTTCTTTCTCTCCTTTTCTTCAGTCGTCACAACCTCCGGCTCGCCCTGCCGCATGCCATGTCAAGATAAATCGACAATCCAGCTCAAGTCCTCCGTTCTTTCAGTCGACATGTGGAGTTTTCTGTCTCCCGGCGGGCCCATATTTAACGACGTGTCGTCCAACGTTTTTTCCGTTTGGTTTCTTTGTTTGCGTGTTTTTTTTAGGTAGCTAATAATGGCACATACAAGCTAGACGGTCTACAGCCTCCCCCAAAATGGCTGCACAGTCAACTACAAAGATATGACGTGCCTTGACATGTGACCGCACGAGGGGAAAAAAACAACGGTGCAAAAAAAATAATTCTTTGTGAGCATGCGCCTCACTGGCCTCTTGCTCACGTGACGGAGTGGGCGTATTTAAGCCTCTGGCGCGGGAGTATCGGAGAAGAGTCGAGCGAACGGGAAACCGAGGTTAAGAAAAAGCAGGCAGGGTAAGTTCTGGTAATGTTTTTAATTAATTAATTAATTAATTAATTTTTTTTTATCTACAGTTATATCACATTAAGTATAGTTCACGTCGGCTAATTTGCCTTCTTTAAACGTGGCTGATTGGTTTTCCTTAAGATCCAGTTGACTCGAGGCCTTCTTACCATGGCTTATTTTAAAAGTGGGGAAACTTAGACCATATGATCCTTTCCTTATAGAGTAGCGTTTCTAAGTGGGTAGAATCACTAGTCAATGGTAAGCTAGACAGCTAGAGGTTTAATTTTTTTTAAATATAATTTTTGCTAATTAAAAATCAAGTTCTTTGTCTACTACTTGTCCTGGCTCAGGTTTCGAGAAAAAAAATGAACGTCAGTGGAAAAGTAAAGCAGAGCCACCAGAAGTCCAATGAGAACATAAAGGTAAGTACAAAGACTTTTAAGTTGTTTCGTCATTTTGTCTTTCAAGTGTAAACATTGGTGGTAATTATTTCCCTAGTAGTGCTCAAATATCTCCTATACTACCTTTCTTGGGTGACTGGTATCATTTTAGAGAGCTTCTCATGAAATTATTTTTTTCCGGTGAGGGTCAGTATTTTTATTTAAACTCAAACCAAAAACTTCCATGTAAATATAGAAGGCCAAGATTGCCTCTTCCATTTATTGTTGTCTTAGTTCTTTTATATTAACATGTATAATCCAGCTGCAGCAGTCTCTGGACATGTAGTCTCAACAGAACAAAGCCATCTACTGTAAGTGGCTTGAAGGTCAGTCCTAAAGGACACTTCAGGGTTGGGTTGTGTGGAAAGGCACTTAAAT